GCCCGTGAATTTTTTGGTGATATGGCTTTTGAGAATTTTTTTTCCAGACACTTTATAGAACCATCCATAAGGACTTGGAGAAAAATTCATTTAGCTTCATCATGATCCACACCATATTTTTTAGCATGAAGGGACCACTCAGCATGGATTAAATGATTTTCTCAGTTTTTCGTATGTGTTAGCCCATGGATTTTTTGGTGATAAGGATTCTGGGAAATTTTTCTCCACAACCTTTATTGAACCATCCATAAGGACATGAGAATTAATTCTTATAGCCTCACCATGATCCACACCACTTCTTTTAAAATTAAGGGGTCACTGAATGGGCATTAAACAATTTTCTTAGTTTTTTGTGTGTTAGTGCATGGATTTTCTTGTGATATGACTTTCAGACACTTTTTTCCAAAACCTTTGCAGAACCATTTGTGAGGACTTGGGGAACAATTAATATAGCCTCACCATGATCTACACCACTTTTTTAGCATATAGGGGCCACTCAACAAAAAATAGGTGATTTTTCTCAATTTTTCGTGTATAACGTCCATTGATATTTTTGGTGATATGACTTCCGAACACTTTTTTTCTAGAACCTTTATAGAACCATCTGTAAGGAATCAAGAAACAATTCCTATACCCTCACCATGATTCACGCCACTTATTTTTAGCATTTATTGGTCAATCAACATGAATTAGGAAATTTTCTCAAATTTTTGTGTGTATTAACCTGTGGAATTTTTGGTGATATGTCATCCGGGTAATTTTTTTCCAAATCCTTTATAGGACCACTCGTAAGGACCTGAAAAACAATATCTATATCCTCAACATGATCCATACCACTTTTTTCACATTTAGGGTCCACTCAACAAGAATTAGGCGATATTATCAATCCACTCTTTTTTTAGCATTTAGGGGCCACTAACCAAGTATTAGAAGATTTTCTTAGTTTTTTTGTGTGAGCTAGCCCACAGATTTTTGGGTGATATAGATTTAGAGCACTTTTTTTTCAAAATCTTTACAGAACCATCCGTAAGGATATGGGGAACAATTCCTAAAGCTTCACCATGATCCAAACAACTTTTTTTAACATTTAGGTTTCACTCAACATGAATTAGTAGTTATCTCAGTTTTTTTGAAATTATGTTCTAGATTTTTTAGCGATATGGATTCCGAAGACTTTTTTTTTAAATCCTTACAAAACCATCTATAAGGACTTGAGGAACAACTTATATATCATCACGATAATCCACACCATTTTTTAGTATTTAAGAGCTACTCAACATGAATTAGACAAGAACCTTTGAGAGCTAATCTTAACAACATAGGAGGAAGTCCACCAATAGAGGATATTAATCACCTAGAGTAGGAGAAGGAGAAAACCACTGTTGGGGGTCACAAGGAAGAACATTTTCAGAGGGTGGATGGATTAAGGGAGAGAGGAAGTTGAAGATACTGATTAGGACACCCTATTTTGAGGGGTCTTGTATTATAACCTAGTTTGGTCACTTTTGAGCTGATCAGGATGTTTTGTTGCTTTGGTAGTGTACTTATTTGAGCCCACTATTTTAGATGATATAATAAAGGATCTCGAGTACAAATTTGTTTTTAAGAAAAAAAAATTGAATTAAGCGATTTTCTCAATTTTTTGTGTGTTAGCCCATGAATATTTTGGTGATATGACTTTCGGATAATATTTTTGCGAAACCTTAATGTAATTTTCTATAAGGATTTGGGGGAGCAGTACATATAGTCTCACCATTTATAGAGTGATTTTTGGGCATTTAGAGGCAAATTTACAAGAATTAGGCGATTTTCTTTTTTTCCTTGTGTGTTTTTCTTGAATATTTTGGTGATGACTTTTGGGCAATTTTTTTGTGAACCCCTTACGGAACCCTCATTAGGGAGTAGGGAGTAGGGATTTGGGGGAGCAGTACATATAGTCTCACAATTTTCAGAGTGATTTTCGGACATTTATGGGTCAATTTAAAGGAATTGGGAGATTTTCTCTATTTTTCGTGTGTGTTAGCCCATGATATTTTTGTGATATGACTTCCAAACGATTTTTTTGTGAGATCTTTATAGAACCCTCGTGAAGAGTTAGGGAAGCAGTATGTACAATCTCACCATATTTCGTCACAAATATTTGACAACTCCTAAATGTAACACAGTGCTTAGAGTCACGAGTAACCTCAAGCTAACCCATTATACTTGCATAGTCATGTTAAACTAAATATAGAATGAATATGGCTGAGTGGAAGTATAATTATTGAATACTAGTTCAATACAATTTTTGAACAAAATTTTGTATACAACAATTATAATGTAAAAAGAATTTGGAATAGAATGGACTGAATACAACAACTCTAAATGACTATCTATTAAGCCTCTACTAATACAAATTATAATAAGTCAAGACATAACCCTGTCAATACATGTAAATAGAAATAACATACTAAAACTACAAACTGACTTGAGTGCTCAAAATAAGAGAATTCATCACTTTCTAGTTGAAAGTTGCGATCTGATGGACTAGAATCATGATAGTAAGAACTTGAACCTACATCACAAGAAAAATGTAGCCACAAGAGGTATGTGAATCGGTACTTTGAATATACTGAGTATGAGATATATGTATGATTATTTGTAAAGTTGGACATGATGAATCAAAGACGTTAAACTGAATATGAAACTGAAACAACTGAATGTAAGGTCAAAGCAATATTTTTAAAATCATAACATAAGCTTAAATCATAGTCTTTAAGGAAGTCATAAAATACTTTGAAGAAAACATAGTTTTTTTGTAGGATATTTATCATAGAAGACATTGAATATGTAATGATACAGACCACTAGTGATATTCTCCGTTTTAGGTCTAGACCCGCACGACTGTAAAACGCATCACTCGCTGGTAAGACCTGCTTATTTATATATCCAATGTCTCTCCTATGTTTTGCCGATGTGGTACTTTTTATCTTTAGATAGGTGTCACATACACATCCTCTATGGACTCAGCCTCTTCGTTGAGGTTTGCCACACCTCATGAAATTTTTCTGGGCTCGGCACTGAGGTTTTCCCTGCCTCACCATAATTTGCCTAAACTCAATTGAAATCTGGCTCACATCGACTAGGCTGACATATGAGTAGCTCTGATACCATTTGTAATGGCCCAACCTACTAGTGACATTGTCCATTTTGGGCTTAAACGTTGTGGCTTATTTATGTAGTTTCCCTTAGAAGAATAATCTTTTGGGCCTAATACATTCATAAAGGGTGTTAGCTAGATAAGTCGGCCCATCAGTTAACCTAATCCTAAACCCTAATTCTATCTATATAAACGACATTACGGGAGTTGAAAAAAAACTCTAAATCTTCCAGAGAACGGTGAGAGTTATCTCTGGACCACTCAATGATTTTTTGACAGTGAAACTAGGAAATTTATCCAATCAAGTGAGGATTTCTGATAACTAGTGAATCAAGTCGTGATTGTTGCAGACGATCCACCTACGCTAAGGAGAACTATTGTAAGTCTCAAAACTAGTATTTATCGTTATATTACAAGTTTACAATTATTAACTGAAGTATGAGAGACGAGGTTTAAACTATTCCGATGTAGTATAAAGAAAATTAAAAAAAATTAAGTATTTAAAAGGATATTTTATAAATTGTTAAGAACAAGATAAATGTAGTTTTTCACCTTAGATTAAAGCACGTGTTCTATGCCTAAATTCCCGTCTTAAATGAAGTCATAATATAACAATATAAAAGAGGTAAATAATATTAGACATCACATTATCATTATATTAGACCCGAGTCATCCTAACCCACTTTTTGTAAAAAAATAATAATCTTAGATTACTTCATCAAATATATCTGATATATATTAAGCATATATTTATTTGGTACTTGTTTATCAGCATTTGGTACAACAAATTCAGCTTTGTTATAATCATATTCCTTACATGAAAAAAGCAATCTAGTAATTCCATCTCTTCAAAATTTGAAATATTTTGGATGATCTATAGTTGCCACTGTTACAGCATATTCAATTATATCAAATATTTTTGGATGTATTAACACAAAATTTAATAACTTTTTGTTGACTTAAAAGAAAATGATATTTAGAAGAAAAAAAATTACACGTGCAAGTCATGTGACTGATCATTATGAGAGTAGTTCACTTTTAAAAGTATTTGTGATGTTTATTATTTATTCATCCAATGATATAATTTAAGTTGTATATATACTTTAGGGATATTTTTCAGTTTTCATTATTTAAGCCAACTATGACAGGTAAGGCACAAAATAGTATCGAGATGGAAACTTTTGATTGGTAGATATATGCAAAAGTTCTTTTGTTTATATTTTTATTTCACCTTATTATCAAGGTAATTTTAAAATGATCATCTCATGACTCTCTTATTATCACAATTTTGAGATCATTATAGAAATCCATAAACTTGAAACGATAGATCCGTCTCAATCTAGGATTAAATGATACACGTGTTGATAAGAAGTAGCATACACTCAACGAAAAATTAAGTGGTAGGCAAGTTAACCCGAACACAACCCAACAAAAGGAATAAGGTAAAACAAACCAAAAAAAAGGAAAAGTCCATAGTATATATCATATAGTATACTTAGGATCTTCTCTGAATTTGTAAGGGTGAAGTTTTCTTGTATCACTCATGGTATTAAAAGCTATGGAATTAGAAATAGTTGAGTTTCACTATTATCATCATCTACATAAAACCAATTTTGTCCATATATTAATTATTCAAATAATAATCCAAAAAATTCAAACTTCTTTAAATTTTTGTGACTTTCTTTCGTTGTTCCTTTATATAAACACTAAATCAAGAATCAAGAAAACAAGGTACTTTTTTGTGCTATTTTTTCTCTTTGTATGATTTTTTAGAATATGGTTTACATGCAAAGAATGGAATGTATATGTTTATAATTAAGGAAAAAATATTTGATTTGGGTTCCTTTTTTTTTCCAGGAAGATGGATGACTTTGATAAACGTCAAGCTAGTATGAAGAGTGTTTTGACATGTGGAATTTGCAAAAAGTTATGCAAAGATGTCACAATTATTGAAGAATGCTGTCACAGATGTGAGAAAATTTTAATCTTTTTAATTAATTTAATATTTTGGGAGTTTATTTTTTTTTATTTGAGTGATGTTGATAAATTAGTTGTTCTTGTGCTTTCATGATCTTGAAATTTAGATGTTCTTTTTGATGTTTTATTTATTGCTCATCAAGGCGGAGTTATTGAAACAATCTTTCAATCTCTGTCGTCTGCGGTCAATATCCTCAAACCTACTTTGTGAGACTACTAGTGTAGGTGATTGCTGTAATTTTTTGGGTTTCCTCTTTTTAAAAGTATCACTGATTTCGATAAATAATTTGTTCTTGTCATTTCACTCTTGAATTTTTTATATTTTTTCCGTTATTTCCAATGTTGTTTTAAAAGATTAATTTAGATGTGATCTTTTGGGGGTCATTTTTTCTTTTGCTTGATGTTGATAAATCATTGTATTGGTGATTTCATGATCTTGAATTTTTGAATTTTTTTAATTTCTTTCCATTTTTTAAATTTCTTTTTACAAATAATATAAATTTTAATTTTTAATTTTAGGGGTTTCTTTTTTCTTTTTTTTTTAGTGATTTTGATAAATCATTTGTCCTTGTGAATTGAGTTGAATTGAATTTGTGTCATTTACAAGGTTTATGTGATCTAGGTCTTTATTATATTTCTTGATGAAACAGTTTATTTATTTATTAACTTTCTTTATGATCAATTTGTTGCATTTGACCCTAGTCACTAACACTATTGTATTTTTATGTATAATTTGGGATTTTATGAATGATAGCAACTCAAAGGTTGACAAATTATTTGTTATTGTGATTTCATGATCTTAAAGTTTAGAATTTCTTTATTACGTTCTTTTTTATGTTCTTTTATCGCTCATCAAGGCGAAGTTATCGAAACAATTTTTCAATCTCTGTCGTCTGCCGTAGATAACTTCAAACCCACTTTGTGAGACTACTCATGTAGGTAGTTGTTGTAATTTCTTGGGTTTCCTTTTTGTAATAAATAAAATTTGTTGATTGTGATAAATAATTTGTTCTTGTCATTTCACGATCTTGAATATTCGATATTGTTTTCGTTCTTTCCAATGTTTTTTTAAAAGATTAATTTAAATGTAATTTTTTGGGGGTTCATTTTTTATTTGATTGGTGTTAATAAATCATTTGTACTTGTGATTTCATGATCTTGAATTTTTGAACATTTTTAGTTCTTTTCATTGTTGTTTTTTTTAAAAAATATATATATATATATATATAATTTTTGATTTTTTTATTTTGAGGTTTTTATTTTTTATTTTAGTGATTTTGATAAATCATTTGTTCTTGTGAATTAAATTGAAATTGTATCATTTTCAAGGTTTATTTATTTATTTATTTATATATCAAGTTTTTTAATGGAATTTGATTAATTTATGTTTAATATTTTTTTACAGTCTGCAAGAATTGCATAATGAGGAAGGTAAAAGAAGAGAAATTGAAAGTTTGTCCAGAATGTAATACAGATTTAGGTGTTGCCCCTGGCAGAAAATCAGGTATATTCTACAATTTTGATTTTTTATATATCTTTTAAATATTTTGAATTATTAATTATTGCGATTCATATCTTTTTTTTCTTCTAATAAGTAAATTTTATTTGAAAAGGCATGAAATCATATCCCATATATAATGTGGAACAAAGAGAGTTGTATAGTCCCTTCGTCGTTTTTTATGTGAAGGTGTTACTGTTTAGAGATTCAAAACTTTTTTTTTCTTTGACTATAGTTTTCACAATTTTTTTAAAAATATTTTGAATAATTCTTTATGTTGTTGACTTACAATATTTTTCAAATATGTAATTTTTTAAAAAAAGTTTTGATGAATTTGTATCCGAACAATAGTGAAATTAAGTATATTGACCGTCATATGTTGACTATATGCTTAAATTGTAAGAACAATAATACACTTCTAATGTAACCCTAGATTATTCTTCTATATGTCTATGGTGATTAGAGTGCTCTTTATATCTGTTATGATGAAGAATAACATGTACTTGGTAAAACAAGTTAAGGTTGTATCAAAATTGACCTAGACACCACTCTTTTTCAAAATGTAAAATGGTCCATTTTTTTTTTTTTATTTATTATTATTTTTTTGCCCTCCCCCTAGGAGCTCCCACCCTTTTTCTCCCTTGGTGACTCAAACTCGCAACCTTCGGGTTGGAAGTGAGGGGTGCTTACCATCCAGCAACTCCCTCTCATCAATTTGTCATTGTGGTGGTGGAGCTACTATTTGAGTTTAGGGGTTCTGAATTACAAGATTTTGACTCTAGGTTTATGTCGAATAAGTAGACAGAATTGTAATTTCATTCTCTATGTGTGTGTGCGCGCGTGTGTGCGTGCGTGCGTGAGAGAGAGAAAAGTAAGTATTGATATAACCTTATATAATGCTTAATTTCCAGGCCTGATCACCAAATGCAAGGGATCAGAGACATGGTGTCAAGTAAAAGAAGAGAATTTATTAAGCGGGGACTAATCGAAAAATCAAAAAAAGCCGAACCCAAAAAGTTAGCTCGTGAGGATATTGATCTTAATAAAATTCCTGACATGCTCATTGATACTCCACCATCACCACCTCATCCTCTTCCTCCTCCTCCTTCTCCTCCTCCTCCTATTGTCGCTACAAGTTCAAGAAGAAAAGAGAAATCAATCTCTTCCATCGTAAATGCTACACCATTTGTTGTTGATGATGATGATGATGAAGAAGAAGAAGAAGACGAAGAGTATGTGCCTTCAGACGAGGAGTATGTGCCTTCGCCAAAAGTTAAGGAACACAAAGTTTGCAAGAAAAATGTTAAAAGATTGGATGTTATTCAAGCTACAGAAGCGCCATCAAGAAGTAATAATAATATTGATAAAGGAAAAGGAAAAAAGGGACAATGTGGAAGAAAGAAAAAAGAAACAAATATTCCTCCTCCTCCTGTTAGCGGTAGTGGAGATGGTGGTAGTGCTGGAACAAATACTAATGCAGAACAAGTTCAAGTTACTACTGAGACAACAGGAGGTACAAGTAGTGATATTACAATGGTAGTCAATGAAAGAGTCCATCCTATTTGGTTCAGTTTGGTTGCATGTGAAAAGCAGTGAGTTTAATTCTATGCCTTTCAATTTTATGCATTACTCTTATGTATATTATTTCGATTTATGTGACGGTGTTTGACTAGATATGACTGTTTCAGGGAAGGTCATTCACCCTTACCACAGATTTCTACCCGATACATAAAGATCAAGTAAGTATTTAATTACATTTGAATATATATATATATATATATATATATATATATATATATATATATATATATATATACTCACAAAAATATTATGCATGTGACTAGATCACAAGTTCGAATTGTGGAAACAGTCTCTTTCAGAAATGCAGGATAAAACTGCGTATAATAAACCCTAATGGTCTGGCCCTTTCCTGGACCTCGTATAGCAAGAGCATAATGGAAGTGCTTCCCCCCCCCCCCCACCCCTTCTCCTCCCTTTTTTTTGTGAAATTATACATCTTTTTACTTTCCAAAATACCTCTTAACTTCAATTAATATGTTTACATTTTTTCTGGTTAAATAGGGATGTGAACAAGCCGTCTTCCTACATAAAGAAGTACCTTGCACATAAATTGAGTCTCCAGAGCGAAGACGAGGTAATGAAATACGTGTATTGTCATTCAAAATTTGCTCTAGTACCTTCTGCAATACACTTGATTATTATTTCTGAATTTCTGATCCTAATAATTTGAAATGTAGGTGGAGCTTCGCATGTTAGGAATGTTGATTCATCCTGATTTGCCTATCAAAGATCTAGAAAAATTGTGGTTACGTGTAGTACCTCACTCTGGAAAAAGCTCAGTAAAAGTTGGATCTTCTGCCGAAGAACTTGTCATGGTCTTGAAATATTCTCGATCACACCCAAAATTGAATTAGTGTGTTAAGAATGTACAATATTTTAGCTTCTCCTTCCCTTAAACATTCAAATTTCTCAAGGAGAAAACTTCTTGTTGCATGTTGTTAAACACCTTTAATTATATTTGTGTGTTTTTTAATAAACTTGATCAGACGTTTTTGAGTTACATATTTTTGCACTCTAGATATCAGCTGTTTATTATGAATTGTGTGTGTTTTTTTTCATTTTATCTTAAGAATTGTTAGGTTGCATTTCTTTTTTAGATATTGACCGCCAAAGCCAAGGACTAATCTACATCGGACGAATTTACATGGGACGAATCATCATGTATTGGAATCAGTGGCATAGCTACATAGATTGACCCAAGGATGGTCATATGAACACTCATTATCAATAACTTATTTTATGCATATAGAAATAATACTGACATCAAAGTTAACGGGTTGAAATGCTAAGTTGGTTCGGACACCAATAAGAGAGGGCTTTGTCCACATGTATGATCATGATTGGTGTTCATCTTTTGATGGGGATTGATTCTTGAGACAAAATTGTTCAACATATTGTTTTTTCACGTTACTATCAAACTTCATGAATTTTATTTCCCCATTGATTAGCTCAATATACGTCTTGATCGTGAGATCAGTTACTTTTCTCGCCAAATTTATATTATCTCAATTTTGAATCGAAAATCCTTTTCCTTTCCCTTGAAACCTGCTCATATCAACACATTCTAGTTAAAATTGAGAAAACTTGGTTTTGAGAAGAATTCTTTGATAAACTTCTATAACATGAATCTGAATTTCCAAATATCGTTTTTCACTTTGAAAATAAAAAATTATACTTTTTTTTATCTTCACAATGAAACATGGTCAAACGTCTTAGTTTATGAGTTATGGATCACATTTTTTCTTGGCTATTATGTTCTGAATATATTACTTATATAGAGTTTGGAGAAAAATTACTTTTTTTTTTGCCAAACTAGTAAGTTAAGGGATGGCTCCGTCCCTGCATCTATACGGTAGGGGTGGCAATTCGACGGGTTGGGTCCTATTTGAGCGGCTCAAATGGGTCAAGATCCAACTCAACCCAAATTTGTTTGGGTCAAAACGGATCAAGTAATGGGTCATAACCCAATCCGTCCAATTTTTACTAAGTTTTAATTATTTTGTAAAAAGATTTTAGTACCTAATAAAAACAAATTATTTATTATGGCTATATATAACATATTAAATTGGTCGAATGACCTCTGAGACCCTTGTGCTTGGCTCCATTTGTCAGTTGAACCCTCATACTCATCACTTTGCCAACTAAACCCTTAAACCCATCAGAACACAACATTTTAAGACTTTTTCTCCCACCTCAACTGAGTAGGAGGGTTCAATTTGGACTACATATCTACTCCATTTTTAATGAATTGAAATGAGATGACCCCAAACTTAAACAGGTTGAACAAATTGAGTTTTATTTTGTAATCCTTAATAATCTATAGAAATGAAAAAGGAAATTGTACTAACCAGTTGAGTAAATCCAAGTGAACCTCCAAATCAGTGATGTATGTGAGATTATGCATTTCCTTTAAGGAAGGGGATATCTTATGATCCAAAATTATCTCTTCACCAACATGCCAATAACTCAAAAAAAAATCTCCAAGTTTTTGAATCAGTCTTGTTTGAATCTCGAAATCATGTTTGTTTACTACTCTCAAAACTTTCACTCCTAATCTTTCATGCCTTTGTTTGAATCTAATATTCCCAACTTTTGGCCCTGAGAATGAAAATACACAAAGGGGAATAACACGTCCGTCTTCGCGTAAATCTAGTCCAATTTCTGCAATGTCATAAGCATTTATCATAGCTAAACCACCTCCCAAGCTATGTCCTGCTATTGTTATGCTAAATTCCTCATTCGAATATCGATCTATCAGTCTCTTAACTTCGTTAAGAACCTGTTCCCTTGCTGATAACTTGCACACGTTGCATTGATCGTGTTTCCTCGTGTAGATGTTCAACAATCCAGCTTCGATTTTGATTGTTGGATCGTGACTAGACATGTTGTAATCTCTAGTTGGTCTTTGTAAGTACATTATATCCGATATCTCCTCAACATCCTTCATTGTTTTACGCCAAGCAATTGTTATCACGACGTCCTAAGTATATTGAGTACTCATCATTTGATACTGCAACATAGCCAATCCAATTCTCTTGGTGACTCAAATTACTAGGCCAAATTGAATGAGTGAGGCATTTGGAGTAAATGTATCTTGCGACATCATAGCCATGTTTTTCGACACTAGTGACTTTGGAAAAGACATTAGGATGCATGCTAAAGCTATGATCCAAATCATGTATAGTCGCGATTTTGAACAAGAAACTAGGATCGATCATACAGCTACGATCCAAATCATATGCATTGTGACGTGCTTGTAAGTTGTAACATATCTCCATAACGTATTAGCTCTGCTTGTAACAGGGGATCAATAGGATCATCAATCATTTCGACCATGAATATCTTTCCATTTGTATGCTAATTTTGTCTCTTGATCGTCGTGGAATTTGTTTCCTTTCGTCTCTAGCTTTGAAATTGGATATATGGAGTCATTTTCGGAGAAAACCTCGAATTTGAAAGAGTTTTTAGTAGTATTTTCTCTGTTTCTTTGGCCAGGGAAAAAGAATTTAGTACTATATGGAATGGAATTTTTGTTTGGGTTTTGTTTATTTGAGGAGAGAATTATTCTGGAATAAGAAATGATCATTGTATTAGAGATTGGGATAAGAAGAATTGCACTTTGGTTTGTTGGAAAAAAAAAATGTGCTTGTTGGTTTGCTGAATTTGTGGCTTTATATAGAGTCTCTTACTCCAAAGGTCACGGTTCGAAATTCAATGGATAATGGACCTGATACTCTACTGAAATACTATCAGGAACCTGTGATGTGTGTCTAATCTACGCATAATAAATTTATGCTTTAACAACTAGAATATGATGATTAATAGACCTGCTCCTCTACTTTTTTCTACTTTAATACCCTGTGATAGTGTTAGGAGGTGTGACGTGCATCTAATTTACGCATAACAACCAGATATGACATGTTTAAAACCACAAGATTAAATGATATTTTGATACATTCAACATATTTTAAATTTAAGACATTTAAGTTTTTCACAGTGTCTTAAATTTTGTGTTATGTCAAAAGCAGATAAGCAAATTGAAACTAAAGGAGTAACTGACTTAGACAGCAAGATTTTTTTGTTTTATTCACTGTTGTGATTTTCTAGAATCTTCTTCATTTTCCATGAAACCTGCAGCTCACATATAATGAACATTTAGTTACGAAACTTGTGGATCTAGTCCCAAAGCGGAAAATAACTTAACCGTTGGACTAGGGTCGTTAAAGATGGTATCAAAGAAGGACTCTCCCTTAGTACAATAGCAGGACAAACCTCGAGGAGGACGCTCAATTAATCCCTATGGGGTGTATGTGATGCCCTTGACGGAAGGCAAGCCTCTGAATAAGAGGTACAAATTTCACCTTAGGCGAATCCCATGTCAAAATGAGAGAAGAAAGTTAGGGACCTTGTAAGAATGAGTCCAGAACTATTGTTGAGGTGTTGTTTGAGCTAAAACTCAAGGGGAAAATCCATGTAGGCCTAGGCCTAAAATGGACAATACCTTAACAATTGGGCCTGGACCGTTACAATGGAGCCCCAAGGTTTAGGTCTAGTGATACATCATGCATGATGTGTGAATCAAACAAACGTCAGATGTTCAAACTTGGTATACACAAAATGAATGGTAGTATTCAAGTAAAAATGGAGAGGGGTGGGCCATTTTCCATCGAGCTTCGAATGGTGTGCAGTTGGTCCTTGAGGATTTTCTAGTTATAAAAATGAAGAAAAGATGATTTGATAAACTTCTATATATATGAAAAGTAGTTCATACAATCAAAGACTAATTGACAAACTTATATAGAACTTAAAAACAAGAAGAAAGTTATACAAACACATCAAGTAAATGTAAGTGAACCTCCAAACTATGGAAAATATGTGAGATTATATGTATATTGAGCAATGTTATAAGCATTTATAATAGCTAAAGCACCCAAGCAACGTCCTGTTATTGTTATGCTTATTTCCTTATCAAATGCATCGTAACATGCTTGTAACATATCACCATAACGTATTAGCTCTGCTCGTAACAAGGGATCGATAAGATCAAGCATCCCTTCCCAATCATTTCGACAATAATAAAATTGTCGCTAAATATTAAGCTGTAATAATAAATATGAATATTTATAATTGACATTGTTTAAATACCGCAGAAGTCTTTAGTGACTCTGAACGCAACAATATTAACTCAATTATCCACTAAATATCTCTTTTGTTGTATAGCAGGAAAAAAAATTTAGGTTGCTGGTTGGCTTTCCAAAGTTTTAAAAAAAAATAAAAAATTAGTCTTTGTAAGCTATTATGAACCACAATTAGAAGCAACCATTAGTTATATATTATTATTGCACTTAATGGTTGTAATTGACAGCTATAAAAGTCTTCGATAGAATTTAGAAATTACATATTATAAAAAGACCATATTAGAGAGTCATGAACATTAAATCTTTGGATGAAGTTGACTGGGGCGGGTCAATGCCTTTAAAAATGAGACATTCCTTTTAGGCTCTCAAATTTGAGGGGCTCTAAAAAAAATTTAGTAATAGTAGAATTATCATAAGTCCTTTTTAATAAAAGAAAAATTGTATTGTGTCTTTCATTTTATTTGTCTTTTTTAGTTCGTTTCGAAACATTAAAGAATGTTTCTTTCATTTTTGTCAATTTTTAAATTTAACTTCCACATAACATATATAAGATCACAAGATTAAAAAATATTTTGATATATATATATATATATATATACACACATACATTTTAAGTATTGCTCCCCACCCTTCTAGACTTCCGTCCGTTTCGACTATTGGGTAGTCAGTTTCTAATGGGAGTGATAAGTCTGGTATGGTTCTAACCATATGTTTGA